TCGACTTCACGACGGCAGATCAAAGCCTCCATACTATACAAAAGAGATAACGTGCACATAATTAAATGTGAGAACTTATCGACCCTTTTACCAGCCGATCTGTACCGACAGAGTTATCGACCCTTATTGTGACTTTTATATATATGTAATAATATGTACTTCTAAATCTTTAGCTTTAAAATATTTAGCTTTGAGCGTCCACAAAAGCGCTTCGGACTTACACTATTTTTAAAGTTTAATTTTTTTTTATATATCAATGTGTCGACACTGCTGCTGGTGGACTATAAGTCCTCGAGGGTATCATCAGCTCTGTAGTCAGTACTTTCATAACATAATATGTATTATATGTCTCTGGGTACTTATACATTCTTGGCTTTAAAATATTGAGCATTTCTATAGTGAAGGTAAATTCAGAAAAGCGCTCCGGACCCATAACATTTACATAGTGTTATTTTAAATGTTTAAATAATTGCAGATAAAGAATACTCAAAAATTTTACTTGGAATTAAAAACCTAACTTAGATAAAATTACACGATCAACGATAGAAATATTAGAAAAAATCACTTTTGAGGAGGATACATCACCTTTGTTATTGTACATGTACCTCATTTGCTTCCTAGAAATAAGTTTGGTGTGTGTGTGTGTGTATGGGTGCTTGATCACTCTGGTTATTAAATTATTATTGTAAGTTAACCGATTATTTCAATATATTAAATTTTAAAAAGGAGGCACCGTAAGCATGGTCACCGTTAGAACATTTACCATCTGAAGAAGTATGTGTCAATAACAGCGACCAATATAATGAAGCCAGAAAAAATTCAATTCATTTGTTAACATTGTTAGCGCACGTTTTTTTAAATTACAGGCAAATATCTATATCGTATATCTGTATCCATAAAAGCTGGTCATCAACTCCAGATAATTTTAAGAACAAACACTAATATTTCTTTAGGGTAACAAAGTGCTATACCTGTGTACGCATGATTCATTTGTAGAAAGGTTAATTACTGTGATCAATTGTTAACATTCAAATCAAATTCTTATGATAATACATCAATAATATAGCAATTAAAAGGATTTTATGAATACCAATAATTACACTGGTTGTTACAATTTCTAATTTGTGGATGTCACATTGGTAAGATAATCCCATTAGTTTTATATACTGCCATTTTCATCATGTAAAAATATTTACCCTCCAATGATAATTGCCTCCATTGGCTTTTTATTTCAGTTTGATTATTTAGAAAATTGAAAGACGTATATTCTGTTGTCACAGAACTAATTTATTCCTTAAACTGACAACTCATGGAAGTCTCAGTATTGATATATAATTTTTATTGCAATTAAAACTGCAGTTTATTTCTTTGAAATTGAAACCATGATAGAAAAACAAAAGATATAGGGTATCCATCCATGACACAAAATCATGTTTTTATTACCGATTGTTCTATTATTGCTGTCGTGCATTTCTGGAGAATTAAATCAGTTTAATTGCATAGAGATTATTCCAGGAAAACTATTTAAAGACAATGTCGTTTCGTCCAAGAATGACAGTTTTTATACAGACTGCATAACATACTGTATGGATCAGGATGAAATTTGGTTGAGTGCGTCATTACAAAAAACAAATTGTTTTTGCCATGACAAACATTTCACAGGCAATGACGGAACCGCCGATTCTTCGTCCACCTATTTTAAACTAGACAAGAGAACTAACAGCCGTAACTGTTATGATATCTACAGGTGTTACTCCAAAGGAAACGGTGTATATAATGTTTCACTAGACGGTACGAAGGATGATTTCCAGATTTACTGTGATATGGATAACGGTGGATGGTCTGTAATACAACGTCGGTTTGATGGTGCCTTAAGTTTTCAGAAGAGTTACATGGAATACAAAGAAGGTTTTGGCGATGTATATGGTGAATACTGGTTGGGTTTGAACAATATTCATACGATTGTAAGTTCTGATGACTTTGAAGTTAGATTTGACCTTGAGGACTGGGAAGGCAATACTCGTTATGCTGTTTATAGTTATTTTGCATTGGCAGACGGGAATCACAAGTATCAGTTAAGTATAAGTGGTTATATTGGTAATGCGGGAGACGCAGCACGTACACATGATGGTATGTTGTTTTCTGCTGGTTTGATTGATTATGATAACTGGCCTACAGCATGTGTCGATCGATTTGGCGGTGGGGGTTTCTGGTACAACGCTTGTCACAATATGAATATCAATGGACAGTACAACAACACAGCGAAAGGAGAAGGGATAAATTGGGCACAGTGGCGCGGTTATTATTATTCCTTAAAATCTGTAAGCATGAAGGTCAGGCCTAAACAGAATTAACAATAAGGAAGAGAATAAATCTTTCATGGGGGTTTTTCTAACAAGGTGAAAGTAAGAAAAACCACGAAACCTATTTTTTTTTACAAATTTAATGAATGACTGTAATATTTTTAATTAATTATCCTTTACAGATTATTACGTGAACTTATGCTTTTCGTGTAACGACGAGTTTTTATCTACAGGACAATCAGTTACTGACAGCAAAATCTCGTAATGTTCCAGCAGAACGAGAAATTATCTTTTAATTTGTAGGAAAAAAACGAGTTGAATGGTATTTTTTAACGCAGTGTAGGAGAAAATACTCAACGAAAAGCAGTAAAATTGTCGTTGAACACTAAACATGACACAGGTTTACGTAAAGAAAAGGAAACAAAGACCTTCAATCAAAGTACTGATTTAGTGCTTCAGACCCAGATATGTATAAAAAGTTCTATTCATTTCCTTCGAGGTATTTTTCAAAGCATCACTTTTCTATGTAATTAAAAGAACTGTAATTAGTGGTTATAAAGAACTGTAATTAGTGGTTATAAAGTTAGCTGTCTATTGCAATTAATGATACTTTTTTAAATTCATTGCAACATGTGGAACCTTAAGATGAATACTGGTAAAACAAAGTGATTTTTAGGAAAATGAAGCAAGCATGCATTTGTATTTTGATCTTTAGAAATAATAGACTATTATACATATCTTGGTCTTTTGTTTAATTATCACGGGACACTTGTTATGCACAGAAAATTCAAGGTTTGCAACAAACACATGTTTATATAAAGAATTGGAAACAAAAACACAAACCTTAACAGATTTTTTTGCAAATCCAATATGACTGCCCAAAAAGAATCGAAGACCTTACAAATCAACTGGTTATAATGGTTGCTAATATAGAAATAAGAAGATGAGGTATGATCGTTAATGAGATAACTTTAAACCAGAGACCAAATGAGGTAAAAGTTAGCAACTTAGGTAAAAAATAAGCAAAACCCATACCGCATAGCAAGCTATAAAAGGCCCAAACATGACAAATATTTAACAGCATGAATTACGTACTGCAAGCTAGTTTAAAGCCAATGCATGTTTAGTAACAACTAATCAAAAATACACTTATTTAATATATATATATATATATATATATATAATTGAACAAACAGTACTTTAAACATTTGTCTCTTGTATATATGTCGTCATTCGGAATATCGGAACAAAGGATCGTGAAGAAATAAGTAATGCGTTCGAATTGTAAAATATCTTGCCTTGCGGTCATGAAAATTTCGAGCACGATTATCGTACTCAGACTCAAAAAAATTACCAATCAAAATACTGGATTTGGAGTTTCGAGCACACATTTTGTACTCTGAGTACTGAGTAAAGTTTTACGAGCGAGGACCCTGGTATTAGATCGTAGAGGCAATTAAGTAAAATCATACTTTAGAACAAACAACCGTCATTTTGCGACAAATTTTTACCTTTAATCTACTATTGGTCTCATTTTGCAATCACTTTTCAAAGAATCGACAAAGATAAACGATTTTGTGGGCAGTGTAAAAATATGCAGGTTGAAGACGAGTTTCATTCTTTAATGGAATGCACTGCATATGAAAAGGAAAGGAATAATATTCTTAAGGAAGCATGTATTCAATGTAAAGAACTCCCTATATATTTCAAAGTACGATCAATTTATTTGGTTGATGTCCAGTGAGTCTGAAAATAATAATACATCAGTGTCAAGATTTATTAGTACTTGTTTTAAAATAAGAAAAAAATTTGCATTCCAGTGACTAAATATACATGACGTAGTGATTTATTTTATGTTTTATTTATAACAAAGGGTTAATATTCTATTTATCTATTTTTAAACACCATCTTGGATAGAGGATAGTAATTTATTCATTTATTTTCAATGTAACATATCTTTAAAAAAAAATTACTGTATAGTTAATACTATATATATGTTTATGATCGGAAACAGGCCCTTTAATTGGATTTAATGAAGTATTCATATTCGTATTCGAGTAAATTATACATTTTTTAAATGACAGAGGCAAAATGAGTCACTTTTTTGTACATTGTTTGTGTTCAGAGCCCTAGTTTGTGTTTGTGTTTGAATTATTTTTTGTCGAGCATTGTTTTCTTTTAAATGGCATATCATAGATTTTTTACACTACGCTTGGTAAAACACTGCGAGAATATTTTTTCTGATAATTATTTTTCTGATTTATTTGGAAAGAGTATTCTTTCAAATCATACAATTTTGCAATAACAATTGTTTTACAGTTATCATAGTGATAATCAAAACTCAAATAAAGATTCAAAACTTAAAAACAATTTGCACATTTAATTGAGTGTATCTTTCGAGTTTAAAAGAGTCGAAGTTTTGAGTTACATTTAAAAGTCGAAATTTTAAGATGTTCTAAATCAAAATTGGTACTTTGAAAAAAAAAACGTTAAATAGTAACTGTTATATGTCACTAATACGCTTCCGTAATGATAGAGTTCATATAGTTTATCTATTTTCTTTCTAAGTAATCCACGACCAAATTGTTTTTTGAATGTGCGTTACAAATTTTGCTATTTTGAAAGTTGTCCAAATTTTGCTGTATTTATGTATTTTGCATAAATATTTCGTTCCTAAAGATCCATTACAACTTGCTGTAGACTGAGAACATTTTCATTTTATTCACATTCAGAATAATTTTAATTATTAACCATCATAGTAAAGTCTTGTTAATGTCGAACTACTTGTATTCTGAGATGCACGTGGTCTGTATCTGAAGTTGAACAAATGAGGCATTCTTCTATAATACAAGTCTCCTGAAAATAATGAAGAAGACTAAATTGACCTTTAACTATGTGATAATCATAATACATGTATATTAGAAAAGTAATAAGAGGAACAGTATGAATCATTAGAAGTACATATTAAAAAACAGAAATTTCCATAAGAAACCTGACCTACATTAAAACAAGTAAAAACAACAAACCACAAACACGCACTATAATCAATAGTACAAGGTTGAGCATGTGCTACTTCTCTCGCTGCGCTCAATCAATCGCTGCATGGTGAACAGAGAACTTCTTAAGTAAAGGCATACAACTAGAACGAATACAAAGAGGGAGAGGTACCCATGAATCGTTTGAGCAACAAGATCAAAATTAAATCAGGGAATGAACTCATTTTCTGCTCCACAAGTGGCACTCGTTGTGTTGCTCATGGCAAGTAAAACTTCAGCGATAAATCACATTCGGTAATGTCACAATGGAAGAAAAGAGGCTGGACAGAATTGTTGCTTCGATAATTGGAACTCATACATATACAATTGAGTCAAATGGAAAGTTGTCTCATTCGCAGTCATGCCACATCTTTCAATTTTATACGTATTTTAAAACTTACATGAGTAGCCCTTGTCACCAAATATGAACTCCGCACACTTTAAGGTAACGACTGTCGGAAATTGTATTCGTAAGTCATGTACATTTACTGTTTAGTCCATTTTTGATAATATCCTTTTGGCGTGGCTCGGTACTTATGCATCCCACCATTGTGTTGTTGTGCTGTGGTCATTTTTTTGTATTCTTGTCTTTCATTTTTGCTTATGTGCTTTGTCTATATGCCATTTTGTTTTTCTTTGTTGACATATTTGTTGGTTTTTATAGTGATTAAGATTATACCACAATGTTGACTGCTGTACCCCTATTTTTGATATTTTTACCTATTATGTCTGTTTGTTTTGTTCACACATTTTTTCAATATAATGGAATTTCATGCAACTGTCATGATACAAGTCAGAGGTTCGGCTAGCTATAAAACCAGGTTTAATCCACCATTTTCTACATAAATAAGGAAATGTCAGATATGACAGTTGTTTTCCATTCGTTTGATGTGTTTGAGCTTTTGATTTTGCCATTTGATAAGGGACTTTCCGATTTGAATTTTCCTTGAAGTTTGGTATTTTTGTTATTTCACTTTTTGGAAAGTTGAAATCTTCGCATTTGTTATATAGAATTTTAGTTTAAAATCGTCCATCTGTGTCAATATCATATATACAGTAAATTAAAGCAGTAACTGTATAGAGTAAAGCAAACATTGATCGTATAAGAATAAAGTAACAATTGACAATTATCAGACAGGTTATGTGAGTGACTTCTGTATACTTTTTATAGCTGAGCTACGATGTAACAAAAATTATACTTACTTTGATCATAGAAATAGTCTGCAGGTTCAAACTTTGGTACAAACCCTGCACAAGAGACCGACAGCAACAAAATGGAAATGAATACGAAGTTTCTCATAGTTTATATTTTCTACAACAAAATAGAAAAAAGGCAATTAATGGAATGACAAAAATTCCAAAGGAACACAGAACAAACCTATGATTATCCATGATTTCCCTCTTTGTAAGTGTCATGGGGGTATATGTTGAGTTTCCAAGTGAATTGTCAATACCTAATCTATTTATCATTCAGTTTTAACTTTATGTAATGTGATTTACAAACACAATGTAAATTTCTCGATTGCCGCTATCACAGCTCGTTTGCTCCAAAAGTACATAGGTCAAAATTAGATCCCACACAAACTTGTGAGCCGGAGTTATATTGTAATGATTTTACAAAGAAAGGATATAAGGTCACCATTATGAAGTCGGTCATCGTAATTCGGTCTCACAAATTATCGCAGTCATAATTATTTCATTAAGTAATTCATTCTTCATAATTGACCCTAAATTAGATATTCAAGTGTCAATTTTACGAACAAATTGACCAAACTTTAAATTAACTGACGTAAAAATAAGGAATTATACCAAATGTACTTCAATGTGTCTTTCAAAAAATCAATGTTCATATCCTGACCATTAGTTCTGAATTTTGTTTTTATATAAATAATTGGCGATGACTTGCATAGTGTTGCTGTCGAATGGTCACTATTTTGAATCTTTATTGACAGGAAATTGATCCATAACGAGCTTTAAAGATTAGCTTCCGTCGAAACTTTTCGAAAATTAATAATTCATAAAAATTTGTTCAATGTACATGTATTTCAATCTGTAAAAGTTGTTTTGCATATTTGCCATTTTTCTCTGACCTCTCCATAATTGAACAATATCGTTGTACTTGATATATTGGATACTGTGTACACAACAGTGTCTTGAACAACCAACACCATCTCGGTAAGTAGGCCCGAGTCCAATATGTTTTGGAAAACCAAATACGTAATACGTACGTTAATGAGCAGCAGACCTAAAGGACATAAGCAGCCAAATTTTTACTTTGCCTCATGGAGTTGCAACCACAGTGTTCGTACAATTAGATAATAGCATTTAGACAGCAACAAACGTCTCAAATATTGTAGCACTGTGGTACTTGTTACTTGGCAGATGGTACTTTCAAAGGCTAACAGTCCACCAGTAGCGACCCGGTGGCATATGTTCAAATATAAACGTATGCTATCGATTCTAGTGCGTACAACACGTGGTTTAGGAAAACGACATCATTGAGGGAGACGCGAAACTAAGCATAGGAAACAAATACAATAAAAGCTAAAAAGCAAATAAAATAGAAGTTTACTAAAATACCGTAGCAATTTAGAGAATACTTACAGTGTAAACGGAATTCAATATTTTTCCTTAGATTACTAGGTCTTTGCAGAATGGTCTGTAGACTTTCAAGAAAACGGACTATTGTCTACTGTTTCAGATTACTGCGCCTATGTAGGCTGTAGACTTCAAGTTTGATTTTTCTAGAGGCTTTTTCCTTAGTAGCATGTTAAATAAAAATGCATGTGTTGTATATTTATATTTGATGAATGAGATGTTTAGATTATAAAATTATTAAATATACGACGAAAAACAACTTGTTTGTTTATTATGCAATGTTTCAATTATAATGTAAAATTTAATGTTCTATATAAAACAAAGATACGGGCCTTTGTACGTGTTTATACTCTAAATCTGGATTCATATTGTGTACACAGTAAGCAATAAAAATGATTGATGATTTTGAAGATTGTAATATTGACCCCTGAATATATATGTTCGAACTCTTTTAAGTCATTTTTTAGTAACAACAAACAAAAGAACTAATTCAATTGGACCTTCATCGATACTATAACTGTCCTTGAATTTTTACTAGATAACCATTTTTGTTTGATATGGAGATTCCGTATATCGTCAAGTTATCGGAATTCCCATGGGAACTAACTGTGCACCACTTATTGCGGACCTGTTTCTGTATTGTTATGAGTTACAATTTATGACTAAAATCAGCAAAGACCCATCGAAACAACATCTGATTCAAAAATTTAATAACACTTTTAGATATTTAGATGATATATTGGCTCTCAATAATGACGACTTCAGTATGTACACTAAAGAGATTTATCCTGCCGAACTGACTTTAAATAAAGCTAATACTAACAATGAAAACTGCCCTTTCCTGGATCTTGATATCTATATCTTTAACGGGAAGCTTAATACCAAAATTTATGACAAAAGAGATGATTTTTCATTTCCTATTGTTAATTATCCATTTTTAGATGGTGACGTTCCCTTGTCACCATCTTATGGTGTTTATATATCTCAACTTGTTCGATCTGCTCGTGTATGTAACAACGTATTTGATTTCAACGAAAGAAATCTCTGTATTACTGAAAAATTATTACACCAGGGTTTTCGATATCACAAATTAGTCAAAACATTAACTAAATTTTATCATCGGTACAAGGACATCATTCGTAAATATAAATCAACATGCAGACATCTTATACGTTCAGATATTTCACATCCAATATTTTATGGTAATGTTCTTTACAGAGCACAAAAATGTCGGCATTCACCCCAAAAGCTAACCAAACCTTTGAACAGACTTATTCGGAAGGGATATAGTTACGATACTGTTGTCAGATCATTAAGGATTGCATATTTTGGTATTAATATTGATTCACTCATAGGGTCTTTGCATCGGAAATAAACACATCTATTCTAAACCCAGTTGTTGGCATGATACGGGTTATGATCTCCTCATATATGTTATGATGGTATGATACTACACCCCTAACGGGAGGGATTGTACCTGATTTTCATATGATGAAGACATAATCGTTCAATCAGTTTAATTGAGGTCTGGAGCTGGCATGTCAGTAACTGCTAGTAGTTCTTTGTTAATTTATGTATCATTGTCATTTTGCTTAGTTTCTTTTGTTACCTCTTCTGACATCGGACTCGGACTTCTGTTAACTGAGTTTATCTGTGCATTTTGCTATGTGTTTCTTTATTCTACATTGGCTAGAGGTATAGGGGGAGTGTTAAAATTTCACAAAACATGTTTAACCCCGCCGCATTTTTGCGCCTGTCCCAAGTCAGGAGCCTCTGGCCTTTGTATGTTTTTTTAATTTTAGTTCCTTTATATGTTTAGGAGTTTAGTGTGACGTCCATTTTCATTGAATCAGTACACAATTTTATTAAGGGGCCATATGAGGACCACCTCCGGGTGTGGGATTTTCTCGCTGCGTTGAAGACCCATTGGTGGCCTTCGGCTGTTATCTGCTATTTGGTCGGGGTGTTGTCTCTTTGACATATTCCCCATTTCCATTCTCAATTTTATTAAATAATTTTTACTGCCATACGACATCATTACAAAAGTGCATGGGTCTTTAAAACTAAAAATGTGTTTCTTTGTATAAATTAATTACACCAGCTATATTTGAAACTGCATAAATTTGATTTGTTTCCTGAAATATTGTGCTATAATGTGCAATCACATTGAAAATATTTTATGATTTACACGGCCAACCTTGTAACCTTATTGAATTACTTACCATCTGAATGGTAACTATTGGGCTTTTTCAAACATAAAATTAGAGTAATGGAGAATGTGTCCATGGGACACAGATGATGCCCCCGCTTGCATATAATCTTATAAAGGAGCATAACGCGAGAACGGTAAAGTGACGCTACCCAAATTCGAATTCGATCGGTGTTTTGTGGTGATAAGCATTATGTATGAGTTTCATAACATTTGGTTGAGGCAAACTAGAGTTAGAGAATGGAAACCAATTTCGGGACGTACGTACGGACGTACGGACAAGGGTAACACTTAATGCCTCTCCGGTGACGGCGGGGGCAGAACAAGTATAAAAGTCTATCAACACTGCAGTTTGAGTCATCTTTAAGCATTTACTATTAATACTATTCTGCTTGTTGTTGTTAGTGCTGAAAATACACATGAAGCTGTGACAATTTGAATTTAAGTCAACACTGATTCAAAGGTTAAAGAAATTGAGAGCGCGAGGAAATTGGCTCTACATGTTTGCTAAGGACTAGTCTTGCTCATATGATTTAAGGCTTTTTTTTAACATGATCTCTTATATTTAGTTATATTACATTTTGTAACCCATTTTCTTACTTTACAACATATATTTTCCTCAATAAACCATTATACTCGCTCACGATGTATAAGAAAACAACAACAGAAAAATAAAGTTTAACCTCTAAAGTGTTTGAATAATCTTAACAAGTAATACACAATTTTTCTCTAATATATTTCATTGTAAATTTTCATAAAATAACAAATGATGAACTCTTAGTTTAATTGTTTTCCGCAATGATCAGACATAGCATATCTTGAAATAGTTTGTCCATTATCAGATGACGATATCGATGAAAATCGTCTTCAGTTATTATAGTAAAGTCTTCTCCTGTTCGATGTACCACCAGCTCTGTCTAGTCTGTTGTTGTAACTGGTCATGGTGTATTAAGACGTGTCTCCTGAAATTATTTTGAATTTTGTACTAAGTAAATATACAATTTGTTTCTGTCATATCAAGATAAAAGAAAACTAGTTCAATAAAATCAAGAGGAAAATAAGTTTAAAAGATAAACTAAACTCAAAGTTCAAATTCTTAAGAGCTCAACGTGTATCTTTCTGTCACAACAAATAAAAAAGTGTCAGCCGTCATACGAATTTAAAGTCAGATCTAGTAGCAGGAACATAGCTAATGCAGAGTTATGTGATGCCGAATTTAAAAGAAGGACGAAAGATACCAGAGGGACAGTCAAACTCATAGATCGAAAACAAACTGACAACGCCATGGCCAAAAATAAAAAGACAAACAGACAAGTAAACTGATGCATTATATAAGAATTTCGATTTTTTTTTCTCGTCAAGGGTGATCGAAACGAAATATAGAAAGTATCAAGTTTTTAAAAATTCAAGAACAACAAACCATATAAAGCGCACACCCCACACCAACAAACACGCACAAAAGAAAACACAATCGACATCTTCACACCACTTACAAAGCAGTTTTTCGAAAACAAAATTATACTTTGAATCAGTTGTCCACAATTATGACAATAAAGTAAAGTACCTTTTGCCTCTGATAATAGTAGTATGTTATTGCGAACCAAATGATACTTTTCCACAGATTCACTTAAAGGTTATCTGTCGATTTAAACTTTTGCAAGTTCTTTTGTCCATTTGAATAAATGCAATAGCTATTGTTCTCTGTGTAGTTTATTCACTGGGACCTTTACATTTCTTCTATGAGAAGTCTATTACTCATTGATTAATTTACCTGAGTAAAAAAATATCTTATAAATAGACAAAATTACATGTTTTATACTCGAAAAATGCATGTGTTGTTGTGTTTATTCAATATCAATAATATATTTTCAATCTGTGCAATATAAACACTGATTTAATCATAAAAAGTTGATTTCTGACAAAATTTTCAGCATTGTTCCTATTGAAATTTGTATTTTTTGTTTTTGTATAGTAATAGAATACTTTTAAGAAGGCCTTAATTTGAGCATCATAATTTTCCAGTTTTTATTTGTCAAACACAAAAAAACAAAACAAATTTAGATAGGAACAATGTTGAAAGTTTTGTCAGAAATCAACTGAATCACTGTTTACATTCAACAGATTGAAAATATATTATTATTGCGAACCAAATGAAAGTTTTCTATAGAGTCGTCTGCTCTTGACCAGGGTATTTAAACTTTTGTCTATTCTCTTGTCCTATTGAATAAATACAATAGCTATTGTTCTCTGTGTAGTTTTTTCACTGGGACCTTTAAATTTCTTCTAGGAGAAATCTATCAATCATTGATTAATTTACCTGACCAAAAAGTTATCTTCTTTTTTGGGGGAAATAGTTGTATAAACTCATATAAACTGCATGCAATATTGTATTTAATCAATATCAATAATATATTTTCAATCTGTTCAATATAAACACTGATTTAATTATAAAAAAATTATTTCTGACAAAATTTTTAGTATTGCTCCAATGAATTTGAATGTTTTTGTTGTTGTTCAGTTATAGAATACATTTATCAAGACCTTAATTTAAACACAACAATTTTCAAGTTTTTATTTGTCAAACACACACAAAAAGCAAATTTTAATATGGAAAATATAAAATATTTGTTCAGAAATCAACTTTTAATTTTTGAATCAGTGTTTATATTGAAACTATTAAAAATGAATTATTGATATTGAATAAATACAACACCAAATTCAGTTTTTTTGAGTCCTTATTTAGTATTTGTACATGTATTTTCATTTTTGACACTTCAATTTTTTGTTCAGGTAAAGTAATCAGTGAGTGATAGATTTCTCTTGGAAGAAATTTAAAGGTCCCATCAAATAATCTACACAGAAAACAATAGCTATTGTATTTATTAGATGGGACAAAAGAACTTACAAAAGTTTAAATCGACAGGTAACTTGCAGGTGAATCTGTGGAAAAGTATCATTGGGTTGGCAATAATATTGAATAAATACGA